GACTGGGAGGAGCCCTGCTTGGAGTCCCGGGGGGATAGGGAGCGCCCGCCGGGCTTGCCTCCGGCCGCCGAGGAGTCGCCAGGGGCGCTCGGAATGAAGTTCTCCCCGTTGCTGGAAAATCCATTGGGGGGCTTGGAATCATTGACGTGAGGGATGGGAATAGGGATGGGGATGGGCACGGGCAGGGGCACGATCACGGGGTATGGCACGAGCAAGGTGGGGGGTGGCACCAGCGGGGCCAGCGACGGCAGCCCGAAATTCATCATCTGGGGCACGGGCATCGGGCCGTTTGGCATCATGCTCACCGGCGGGAAGGGGAGACTGGGCAAGGGCGCGCCCGGGGGCGGCGGGGGCAGCAGGCCCGGGGGGTTCCCAGGCATGGTAGGGGTGCTCGGAGGGTGGATGTGGGGCGACAGCATGGGCCGATGCATGGGACTGGAAGTGGGGCCCAGGTTCCTGGGGCCGCCGGGCGGGGGCCCGATGCCGGGGAGCATGGGGTTGGACAGAGGGCTGTTGGGGTTGGAGGCGTGGTGCGGCGGCCCGCGAATGAAGGGCGGGCGGATCTGCTGCATGATCTGCTGTTCCATGAAGATGGGCAGCGGCACCGGGCCGCGGTTGGTCATCACCATGGGAGGGCTGCGGGGCGGGACGCCCAGGGGAGGCCCGATGCTAGCAGGTGGCTGGACGGAGACAGGAGGGAGGTTGGCAGTCTCGCTGATGGGCATGGACTTGGGCACTGGCGTGGGGATCTTAGTGACGGAGCAGTTGGCAGCGTCAGATGGAGAGACGGTGGTGGACGCGGATGGGCCAGGGCCCTGGCTTTGGCCAGCTGCAGCCACGGGGGAGGGGGCCTTCCTCCGAGCATCTGTTAGAGGAATATTCCAAGAGTCTGGCGTGAGCAGCTGCACGCCGGCGCCTTCTGCTTTATTTTCCAGGGGAGGGTGTAATGCGCTGCACAGCCCAGCTGGAAGGTTGGCCTGTGTCTCTTTGTAGAAAATGTCCATTTTGTACTGATTGAGACATTTTGCACTGCAGAACTGAAGCCTTCTCTCCCCGTCCCCAAAATCCAGATATTCTTTTGTGTGTCTGATGTGCTTACACCAGTCACATACCTACAACACAGTAATAAAAAGAGAGGGTAAGATACGCAATGCCCTTTGCTAGGCGGCGTTTCACGTTTCCCGTACAGGTTCTTTCAAACGTTATCCCAATTTTTCAAACAGGCTGAAAGGGTTTCCTTCCAAAAGGGAAAATTCTCAAAAAGTTTGTAAAGTGATTTCTCCCTGGAAGCCAGAATTGCTTTATTAATATTAACTCTTCAGAATAGCAATTAAAAAAAATTGTGTTTTTCCCTTTAAGGTGGATCTGACAAAAAGGAATACATATACCTGCCCACACATTTTCACTTGTCAAAGACGCTCATTGTAAATGCAAATTTAATAGTTTTGGAGAGAAAGATTCTCCAGAACATTCCGTGGGCTTTGAAATATATAGCCCCTTAACATTCTGCTCATGCAAAGTCACTTTGCACTATTGACTGTGTTCGATAATGCAGTTGGAAAGGGTGCGCTGTGTTAACCAATAACACAAAGCGCCCAGCATCATTATGTCTGCCTTCCAAGGGGAAACTTGGAATTAGTCATGAAGTCTGTGTGAGGTTTAGCTCTTCCCAACCTGTGATGTTGCAGCAAGCTAGAATTATTTTTTGAGCTGTTTGCCCACTCTCTCTCAGTAGTCAGAATTTTTGGTGACATTTCTTGGCATGCAATCTTATTTAACAACTTTTCAAACACCAGAGAACGTTTTCTAAAGTTGTTATGGCTTTTTCCCCTCTTCAAATCTACTCCTGGCAAAAGAAAGGCATCACCAAATTTATTTTAAAGTTGGGCTGCAGAACTAATTAAAGGCTGAGAGCTTTTCCCAATTGGAAATCACTAGACATCAAAGTTCAAAAAATAGTCATTCTCGGCTTCAGAACCCATTACTTTGGAGAAATTATTGTGATTTCATTAACACATTAATTTTGCAACACCATCAGCTCTCACAGATGGCGAAGGCATGATCTACAATTCAAATATGACTCTTGTTTGCACAAATGTCTTCCCTTCATATGGCATTTTAAACAAGAATTAATATGAGTAATCTTGCCATAGCTATAAACAGATAAACAGATGTCAAAATTTTCAATAGTTCTTTCAGTGCCTTACTTTTTTGACTGAACATTACACACACATTTTTTTTCTTTTTCTTGTTCTTTATTTTTTAAATTATTTTCTGAGCACCCAATCAATCCACACAGCAGCAGCAGGATTCTGAAATGCAGTCCAATGGTGAGCCCATTGAATTGAGTCTCTCCTCACTAAAGCCCTGGTTCCAATTTTGTTCTAAATCGGACCCTGCTTTTGTTGAGGAAGATCTGTTGTTCCCTTGCTGTTGTTGTTTTAACTATGATAAATTAATAGCATTAAAAGATAATAAATTTCAATAATGATTGGTCACATCAGCAATGCAAAAACAACATATGCTGCGCATTTGATTACTCATCTCATTTAACTCTCAGCTTTCCTTGACTGTAAACAGTGGCGGCATGCTAGTGTGTGATTGTGGGTGCACACACTCACGGCAGATGTGGGCATGTGAGTGGAAATTCACTCTTTTTCTTCTTACTCCCCCCCCACCACCACCACCACTGATATTTGCAGGTAATATACTTCATGGTGTGAGGTTGAATAAGAAATACTTATTGGCACACAATAGTTTTTTTGTTTGGCCTCATATCAAGTCACTCTTTCAAAATACTTGTTGCCCAAAACAAATGATTTCAATGTTAATATACTCCCATGTCTCACTACAGTGTTTCAGTTTTCTCCAGAATTAAGGGAACTTTTTAAAAAATCATAGTTGAGATGTCTCGTTTACACATAAATACAGAATTGCCTCTGATGAGAAGATGCACAGAATCCGGCAGACTCTCAAAATTATCATCTAGGAGAAGATTAAATAAGCTATAGTGAAAACTTTACACATGTAAGTTATTATTTTTAAGATCTGATATTTTTATAAAGTTAATGTATAATTATATGACATTTAAATTCCAATTTGAAATAAAGCCAATTTTAGGCATCCATCAAAAGCCTAAAATACCAATTTATAAGCTTGAAGTGAAGGATCAAATATGACTTCTTTAATCATGACTAAAAAATATCATCAATGAATTAAACTAATTAAAATGATATGCCAAAATTTCTGGCATATTTCTTTTGGATCTTCTTTTTTAACCATAAGGGGAAAGAGTTTTCTGAAATCCTTAATTGGTTCTTAAATTGCCAGATTGGATTATTTGCCTGCAGAGGATTCCTCTGTTTCCTCAAGCTAAATAAATATTTTCAAGTGGAGTCACAGAAAATAATCTAAATATAACTTAAATGTTCTCCCATCATTTCCTTTACTTTCAATAATTCATTGATGAGTAAAAAATGCTCATACATCTACCCCAATTATCAAATAGGTAGTCTCCACTATAACAAGATTTACAGACATCAAATTTCCAAGCAAAATTCTGTTTCATCAAACTTTCCAGTTAATGAAAAGTCTAATACTTAGCTGCTTGATTTTCTGCGACATCACAAAGTATTTAGGTCATAGTGTGACAGTTTATGACTATCTTGTTTTGGGTAATGTGAGTGTGAATGTGTGCGTATCCTTATTACATTTCCATTCAGAACATTGATCTAAAAATGCAGAAAAGCCATCTTCCTGAGGAAGCAAAAAATTATTAGAGAAAAAACTTGTCACTTAAGAAATAATGAATCAAGTCTGTCTAACAGGACACATCATTTAAGATGAGGTCAATGAATTTATGGCACAAATGGCTATATCATGTGAGGCAATAAAACGCAGTACCATCATTCATTCGACATCTAACTAATGGCACACTTCTAGTAATTAAAGATTTCATCGTAAGAGCCTGAGCTGATTACTTAAGATGTGGTAGTTAGGTGGAAATACATACTGTAGATCTCTTTCTTTAATAAAACAACATTTGCATATCCATGGAATACACAGCACGTGTCTCAAGAACTAGGGTTGTCTGAATTGTGGTGTTATGAGTTATCCTTCCCTCTTTTTCCACAGACGGCTTTTTTTTTTTAAAACGTTGTAAGGCATTTTTTCCTCATTATGTCAAGAAGTACCAAAAATCTTTCAGATATTTTAAGAGATAAAGATTAAGAAGTGCAGAGCTCTACTCCCTGGGCTCTGGGATGGTTTCCGCTAATTCCACGCCGGCTTTGTTTCTGTTGGAATCTGGCTGCTTTGGTTCCACGCTCTCCCTAACAGGTCCCAGATTGGACAGAGCTGAGGCTGAAGCTGTTTAACGATGGCAATCTGGGGACCGAACAATCAGCTCACGCAAGGCCGCTGAGCGAGACAGCTGAAATGCTTCGGATCACAGATACATAATGTATCACCAGGACGACAAAAAGATCACAAAGGAGATAAACAAATGGGTATTCCATTCAACCCCATAACAGCAGTCCTCACAAAGATTACATTCACCTTCCTGGGATGTGTCCAATTCTAAACAACAGAATGAACATTTCCTTTAGTCCATTTAGACTATTTATATTTTGGTGGCTGGCTGCCAGGGTAGTACTTATAAGCTCAGTGGCCTGATGGATTCACTCCTTTCCTGTGAAATAAATGTGTGGCAACCTACACCACTAAACTGCTCCAAAGACACCGCCTCAGCAGAAATATCACTTGCTCTCGATACAAGAAAACTGAAAGGCAGGACTTCTGGTTCCTATAACTCTTTCCATCTTGTATTTCCCCTGGAAAGAAAGAAAGCTATTCATGTTATTTTTATATACACGTCCGAAGTCAAAGCCAAAGTATGCCATAAGGTTACCCACATGGGCACAACATATACATTCTGCTGGGCTTGAGAGAAGATTTGGGTGGCTGGGGGAGGGGACCAGGGTCCCTAATTAACACATTAATCAGCTGTCAGCTGTGAGAGTGAAGTTCATTCTTTAATGGAACCCACCACTGTCTTCTGAGTGGTAATCTGGCATCAGGCACTATTTCATTAAGAAACCCTTTTGCTGAAATCTTCCTTATCTAGGCAAAGACATTTTCAGCAATGGAACAGTAAAAAGACATTAATAATCCTTTGAATGCCATCAACAATTCCAAAAAACAAAACAACACCTTCACATGCTCCTGACTTCCCACAAATATAGGGCTCAGGTAACAGCTCAGAAGATGTAGCTCCTTAAGCAAAATTGTAACTTGCAATAAGATTCTGGTTCCAGACAGTCCAACCTATGAGGGAAGGTGGGGGTGAGGGGGTAAGAGATCAACCAAAAGACTTGTATGCATACATATGAGCATAACCAATGGACACAGACAGTAGGGAGGTGAGGGCATGTGCGGGGGGGTGGGGGAAGCTGGGGAGAGGTCAATGGGGGAAAAGGAGACTTATGTAATACTTTAAACAATAAAAAAATTTTTTTAAAGATGCTGGTTCCTTTGATCTTGGCCTGTTAAAGGTGGCATTGGTCTTGCACACCAGGCCAGCTCAAAGAATCACGAGTTCACCCAAGGGTGAAGCAAAGGAGGATGAAGAGACATGGGTGAGGGTGGTCAGTGCTTTAGAGGATTTGAGGTCTACCCACAGCTGTCGTCACCTTACATGAGTTGAGGGCCTCAGACTGACCCCACCTGAACACTTGCTTCTAGTTTGACCCTGGAGTCCCATGGTCCCACCATCAACTGTTCCCTTGCATTTAGACATTACTTCCATCAGGGCACTTGGGTGGCAAAGGATGCTATGGAAATCACATGCAATCTGGAATCAGAAGATGTGGAGTCCGGACTCCATTATTTATTTACTAGCAGTGAAATCTTATGGAAAGCTCAGCGTCAGTTGCTTCCTCTGTGAATGGAGCTAGTAGTGGTAACAGGTACTGCTTGTGTGTCAGGCATTTACTATATATGTAGTGCGTTTTTTTCAGTCCTTAGCCTGTTTCCCTCATGGTTGCTGATGTCCCAGGAACATCCATATGTTTAAGTTCATTTTACCTTAATGGAAGGATGTCTCTATGGCGGT